CTCTGATTGGTAGAGACATGTATCAAATTTTTAAGCTTATACCCGTGCCATTCTTGACTGGCGATCATATCAAAACAGTAGTGCCTATAGCAGATTATGCTGCAATTAATCTAAAGAAAGACGCACTCATATCAATTACTGAAAACGATTTCAGACAATGTACGCAACAGAATAGAAAAATGATATTATGCTATTTGAGGCAACCGATTTATCATATAAAAATGACTATAGTCTGTGTGAAATAGTAGTCGGAACAAGAATATGCAAGACAATTACAACCCCGTGTGTCAATACATGGCGGGGATTAAATAAAGTAAACGACTACTTTTACTTTTGTTGCAACCGGTGTCAAATGAAATTATTGTGCGAAGATCAAGTTACCGCCATTCAGTTATCAGGCAGCGGTTTATTTACAATGGATGCAGGTTGCATGATTAAAACAGTTGATTTCTTTGTATATGCACACAAATCTGAAACAAGTAAAATTAAGACAAATTCTGACATTGAGGTACCAAACATTACTCCTATCAATTACGTATTCAACATATCAATGCCTAACTATGTTCAGTTGGAAAGCTCTATAGCTGTTTGGTTGAATACCAAACAGCTTCAAGATATCAAGGAACAAATCGAAATCATGAAAGATAGCATACCATTGATTGAGACAGTGTCTACTCATGACGTGCATCACTACGCCGCAACATATATAATCATTGGTATCATGTTATTGGCATCGATTCTCTATATTGTGAAGTGAGTACGTAGGCGATGTCAGCCGCTTCAGCATGCAGCTGTAAGAGAGCAAGAAGAGCAGTCGCCGAGTGCAGCAGTTGCGGTCCCGACAAGGGGATCGCACGATATCGACTCCATCTACATCCACGAGAATCAACACTCCAGCGAAGTGCAGTGTAGTGAAAATCAGTGTAGTAGTGATGTGATTGTGCCTCCAAAAACAAAAGTGCGCGTTCTTAAACAAAGTCGCAGTACATCTCCGATACTACGTTCCGTATTCACGCTGTCGGAAACTTAGTTTAATGAACTCTAGATTGTAATATCATGAATAACCATAAACCATTTAGATTTAAAAACAAATTGTTTCATCCTTGTATCACGTATCAAGTTGCATCTCATTATCACATCTACTAACCTCATCTTCTCGGCCTGGGAGCATGTACGAGCTACGCTCGACATATTTACAATACGGCGTCAATTGCACGCCTCATCATTTTTGTTGTGTTCTAAAATAATCGGCATTAAATCGGCAGTTCGCTGTCAGTCGTCAAGCATGTCACGCGGTCTCATCTATCAGTATCAGGTTGTTTATTAATTTTCGGACAATACAGTTTTTAACTTATATCAAGAGTGTTTTATATCAGTTCTAGGAAACCTAAATTCCTACAGTTCATTTAAACTTAAAAATCTTAATCATGAACCAACTCGTGTCACTAACTCATCCTCCACATGTATAGATAACGTTTTCTGCCACGATGATGTATATGAAAAATATGTTATAAATTATCTGAGCTCTGACCACTTTGGTCTAAAATTTTCAATAAATGAAAAAGTTAATACAAGCAAACATAAGATCAAGTGTAGACCAGTCACTACTAATAGAATAAATAATTTTAAAGACAAAGTGGCACATCATATGTTAACCCTAGAAGCCCAATCTAGGTCATTTTTACCTATACACAAACAAATATCTGCTTTATCTTTTGCACACTACTTTCGATTGCCGTGATTGATCGAACCAACTTAGTACCCGCCAAGAGGCTACAGGAGACGGTGGTGTAGTATTGGCAAGTCCCGTCATATTGGAGTTACCAGACTGTTGTAGGTCAACTTGACCTATGTTTAGGCTTTGTGTAACTTTTACTTTTATTTTAAGTTTATAAAGAGACTTATTTCAAGAGGATTAACGTTGTATTTTATTGACTTATTAACGAATAAATATTATTTTAGTAAAAAAACAAGATGGTGTCCTCTAGACAGCTGAGAACCGACGAGATAGTTAGCGAAGAGACTGTTCAAAATGAAAATACGCAGTGGCGGATTTATAGTCTTGGCCGCCCTAGGCACTAGCCCATGTAGTAAGTTCCAGCCGCCCCTTTCTCAGAGCCTATCATATATCTTGTAATCATCAGTGAATTTATTGTTACGATTGGCCGCCCCTAACATTTGGCCGCCCTAGGCCCGGGCCTATTGAGTCTTAGGGCAAATCCGCCACTGAAAATACGTCTATTGAATCAACTTCAAATATACCTCAGTCATCATCAAACAGAATCATTGTATTACCACAACGTTCATTACGCTCAAAGAATAACCATGTTTGGAGTACCGTAAAAGGCAGATCTAGTGGGAGGACTTCTTCAATAAGCGTTTGGAAGCCCCTACTTTGAAGGGTTCAGTGCGGGAAAATATAACGAATATCCTTCAAAATGAGCCGCAACCAGTGCCAGAGGCCCTCCTAGAAGAACCGAAAAAGCGTCGTAACTGTCTCATAAAAAACAGCGGAAAACAAATAGACAGTGCATAAAATGTAAAAAGGCAATATTTCGTGAGCACAATATTGATGTGTTTCACACACTTATAAATAAAAAAAATATTATATAAAACTATTTTATTGATATAGAACATTTATTTGTCAGTAGAAAAAAATATTTTGTTCAGTGTTTTTGTTTAATTTTAGTTTAAAAGAAAAAAAACCGAAAGGATCTCATTTTGTACCAAATTTTAGTATTAATTAGTTATATCTGTTATTTCAAAGTCTAATAAATACATATTATTCTAATTAAGCTTTTTTCATTTCGGAAATGGTTAATATAAATAAATAATGATATAAAATAATAAATTTAACAGAAAAAGTAAGATGTATGTGCATTTACTAACATAGGTTAATTTGACCTATGATTAAGCTTTTTAGACAACAAAATATGATTGGGCTTCTAGGGAAATAAGAATCATTAGGGTTTTTGACTCCTATAAAGATATAGGAGTGAAAAACCCTAATGATTCTTATAAATCAATGGTTGACTTTCTCATATCTTCTTATTGTTAAAAATTCAAAATTAACATTTAGTGACTGGGCAACAGTGGGTATATATAAAAGTAGGGATTCACTGTATGAATTATATAATATGAGGCAGTGGAATCATGACCCCAACTTTCATAAAAGGGTACAAACGTTCTCAAAAATATTTAAAAAAGTCTGTATTCAGGCAACATCTATTCATATAAGAAATAGAATAATAAGTTCAAACAATAAAATTAAAGCCACGTGGGACATCATTACCCGTATATTTGGAAGACACAAGATATTAAGGGAACCTATAAAACTGGTTATAGGTAATACTCCCATAACATCAGATAATAAAATAGCAAGTAGTTTCGAAAGCTATTTATCAGAAATTGCAGTTAATGTCACATGTACATTAAAATCATCTCCTATAGATGCAATTAACGTTTTAAGAAATAATGTTACCTATTGTCCACACACATTTAAATTTAATCACGTAGATACTTATGATATTATAAAAGTTTTGAATTCTATTAATCTTAAAAATACAGGGGATTTATGGGGCATATCCATAAAATTAATGAGCACAATAATGCCATATATTGCGCCACATTTAGCTAATATTTTTAACAACTGCATAGATTCTGGAATATTTCCAGATCTTATGAAATTTAGCAAGATAATCCCCGTCTTCAAAAGTGGGGATAAAAAGGATCCAGGAAACTACAGACCTATCTCCATATTGCCATCTCTGAGTAAAATTTTTGAAAAGCTAATTTTATGATGATATCTGAAGTCCGCCAATTCGCAGTGGGACCACGTAGTGGCCTATGCCCTGATACCCCCTGTACAGAGGAGACTAGCACAGCAGTGAGACATGTATAGGTTGATACTTCTTTTAACATTTATGGACACATTTTCACACAACGTTTTCTAGTCCCAAGCTAAGCAACTTGTACGAAGATTACAAGAAAATTGATAAAAATAATTAAAAATGCTTTTCTTTTGCAAATAAATACTTATTAGAGATAGATAAAAACCCAGGCACTATAAAAATAGTATGTTCATCACACAGTAGTGGGGATCGAACACACACCTTGTGGCGCAAGAGGCAGGTTTACTACTCCCCACGCCAATTGGGTTGTCAAAACCAAAAATATACCAGTATGAATCGAACTATAGTTAAATAAAATATTTTGATTTCTAATGCCACTCGCATTAGAAATCACAATATTTTCGATGTACAAACACTCCAGCTGCGAAATCCTGGTAATTTTTAAATCAACAGATCGACAATGCATGTGCACGTTTATAAAAGTCAATTGTACCTTCAACCTCCTTTTTCAGTAATCATTAAATAATTAGAAAGCCGGCGTGTAGCAGAATTGCGCTTCGACTGGTGAGCGAGGTGGCTGGGACCCGCTTTATTATACCGATGCAACGCATCTGCGACCCTACGACGTTTAAAAATGTCCATGGCCGGCGGTTATCACTTAACATCAGGTGAACAGCTCGCTTACTTAGTGAGAAGGTGAGTATAAGAAAAATGGTATGGGCAGTGGCATTACATGTCAAAATGACAAACTATTGCTTTTTGCACGCTGGCAGATTAGTTATATAAACGTGTAACAGTACGTTAGTTAAAAATTAAATGTTTTGTAAATTTCGTCTCACCGGTAGGTATAAAATTTTATAGATTGATTACTTAACATAAATTTCCGATAGACGTTTTCATGATCAGATATAGCAACAATAAAAAAATATATGTACACGTGTTGACATATAATCTGTATGTATGTGTATATATAATCTACAATTGAGATCATATTTAACTCTTTTTAGTATAAGAAACAATAAAAATTTATAATATACAGTCCTGGATACCATAAATTTGTCACACTTGAAATACATAATTCATAATACAGATGAAATTGGATCATATTTCAACAAGTTATTAACACCACTTAAAGTATGATTCACTTACCGTCCACTTAGAACTTTCATTATCCATGAGGCACGATGTACCTAACAAACCATTATCGATAATTATCCTGGAGCCCTGCGAATAAAAATTAACGAAAATAGTAAAACTAAATTTGGTAACATACTTAATCAAACATCTGACTGTGACCACGTTGATGTCTATAAATTTAAAGGTACAGTAAATCACACAAAATAGAACTAAGGGAGAGAAAATGAAATACTCACAATGGAAAGCAAGAAGCAGGAAAACATCACTTGGAAGAAATTATAAAATATTAGGACTTCACTCAAACTGAACTGAGACCTATTCTTCATAAATTTTGGACCTAATTTTAATACGAATAACAAATACGACGCTGTAAGAAAAAACAGCGGCAGAGGTGATTTCATAAGAAACCAATCATCTACATAGTCCACTGAAAGAAATGGAAACAGAAAATATTTGTATCATATGTATTAGAATAATTGTGGCAACATTAAATGCATAGAGGATTGTAAACAGTAAATATATTCATCAGACTTTTTAACTACATTCTCGTAAATAGTGTAAGTATTAGAAAAAATCTATGTTTCACCTTTGCCTTTAAACTCCCAAAAATCATTGCAAGCTACAGATTCATTATGTGCAATATGCTTTAAGACCATGATTATTTTTATGTTAACTTTGCTAGTATACGTTTTTTTTTTTCTTAACATCACCACTGACTTGATCTGACTGACTGGTGCATATGTCTTAGCTGTTTAATATTAAAATATTCCATGCCCATTGTATACAGTTTTTCAATGTCGATTTGTTTTCTTCTGTTACGGTCCACCGATTCGTTTCAAAATTATTTTTTTTTTTTAATTTTATAATTAATTTAAATGTTTTAATTTATTTTTTAATTTAATTTAATTCTTCTAATCCCTATTTACATTTACTTGCAATTTTCCATAACGCAATTTTTTTCAACTTTGCACTAAACGAATTTGAAACTCTTTAAGATTAATTACCGTGCTGCTTTATTTACTCCTAGATAAAAATTCGTTTATCATAATTATCTAATATTTACAACATTAAATCTAACTGAATAACAAACTATCTAACAAACCTAGTACATGCGTCATGGTGCCAGAACGCTAGCTGCATTTAGAGTTGAATTGCTGCTTGTAGATTAATTTATGAAATATATTTTAGGAATGATACATACATAAATAAATTATAGCAAATTGGAGAGATGTTAAAGGCTGTGGAACTGTAATAATTTCTTTCTAAACATTCGTTTCGTCCTTGATTGTAAACGCATATGTATTTACCAGTTCAGATCAACCTTTTTTCTAGAACAATCAGTTCTCTATAAAATAGCCTGACATGTTTTACTTATGTATAATCTTTAATTGGCGGGATAGTAAAATCGAAAAAATAAAAATAAATCCTATATTAAATTTAAGGAGAATCGAATGGAGCAATGCGGAGCATCTTGGTATTTAAATTTCGAACAGTCTTTTTTTTACTTCAACGAAAGTTTTGAAGCTGTTCCGTGAAAAAGAACGTTTTTTTAATGAAACCAAAATTTATATATATGTTTTCATATACATTTGACGGTGAAAGGGCCACGCAGCATGCCCATTCGTGCAACGCCTCGGCTGCTGCACGAATGGGCAGGCCCGTCCGGGTAAGTGCCTACCACAACCTCACAGAAGACCAGCGTAAAGAGTATGGCAAATACTTTCGCGTTTCGTCTAGTGAGTGAGGTAGCCGGAGCCCAATTTTCAAAAGGTTATCAACACATCTGTAACCCTCGCGTGTAGCAGTTGTCCATGGGCGGCGGTATTCACTTAGCATCAGGTGAACCGTCTGCTCGTTTGGCAACTTTTCACATAGAAAAAAAAATAATGGCATATAATTATAATATCGCAAACTAAGGCATTCGTTGTCTAGGTTGGAAAGTCAATCTCGTATTTTAGGCGAGTATAGCCGTTTCACTGACTTTTTATACAAAAATCATGTTGAGTCCCATATACACCAACATACAACCCGTCAATAAGTTCTTGGAGTTAAATAGTTTCGGTATATCGGACAAAATGTCATGGTTGGCAGTGTCTCATTGACAGAATTGTTGCACGAATAGGTAAGTCCTTCCGGGGATATATTATATTTACGCGTTTCGTCTTGTGTGATGTAAACGGAGCCCAATTGTATTAAAGGTTCTCGACGCATCTGCAAGGCCCCGAATTTTCTAATGCTCATAAATAATTATTAAAAATGGATTCTATTCGACGGTCGAAAGCGGTTAGCAAGTTGGTTAGATACTCGTTCATTAAAACACGTCTTGGCTACGTGAAATTAGAAAAAATCATTAAATAGTTGACGGTAGCGTTCGTTTACTTTGACTTTATATATACGTTATAGCTATTTAATAACAGAACACCATTTAGGGCTATTATATGTGACTAGACAATAATATTGAAAATTTTTTCATTGTTATTACTTGTAAAACGATATTCGAAATTGTTTGTATGCTGGAAAGTATATAACAATGGATGCGCCAAGCATTGCTTCAAATGCTAAAAACCAATGTAGATAAAAGACGTTAAGATTTTCGTCGGTGTGGCAATCAGCCGTTTAGTTTAGTGGTTAATGCGTCAGGCCGCGAATGCCGAAGACGTGGGTTCGATTCCCACATCGAAGACAATCTTTTCGTATTTTTTCTACATATTTTAATGTTAAATCTTAAGTGCAAAGATTGGCACTATAAACAATTTAAATTTCTAAATGATCTTCATAAAAAAAATAGATTTTGTGCTGGGTTTATCACGGTGCACTGCTTGAAACCATTTATTGTAAATATATACATCGTATATACGTATCGTATATATATATTTTATATACCTATATGATACGTCGATATATATGTATAAATATATATACATATATCAACTTTTCCATCTCGGGGAACATTAAAAAACGTTTTACCACTAGTTGGTTTTGGTAGTATTTGTACATAATGCTTGTACCGTTATGTACGAATAACAAGAACGATAACTTTTGAGGTTCAACATTTTCAATATAAATTTGAATATTTAACAATGACAGCAAAATGAAACAAATCAAAACACTGTACTTATTATTTCTACATTAACTGCAATGAGTAAAAACTAACATTTGAGTTGTCAGATTCAAAAATTAATTTTTACTTTGAAATAACTTGAAATATTGCGAAATAGAATAAAAAAAAATAGTTTTGTTATAAAACTTATATATGATCTTTATATTTATCATATTATAAAAATTCAAATCACATACTTATGTGCAAATTCGTGAGTTGAGTTGTATTATCAATTACCTACTCATATTTTTGTAGTATCGATCTGTTTTGATTACCTTAACAACCTATTCACTTTTTTTAATGGACTGAACAAAGTATCAAGGCATAAAAGGAGGCTATTGTAACTGTTGTCGAAGATAAGAAGTAAAATAACACAAGCAGTTACAATTTTGCAGCCTAGGGTATTTACAATTATTTTAGGATACTTATGTAAAGGTAATTAAATCGTATTTGATAATTTGGCCACGCAACTGACTTTGCTGTTGCAAGAATGGACAGGGCAGTCCGGGTAAGTACCACGACCTCATAGAAGACCGGCGTGAAGTGGAAGTGTTTGTTATACTACTGCGATGAAGCTTTAATAGTCTCGGGACTGAAAGCAAAAACATAAGTTAATACAAGATTCCTCTGGCGAGTGAGGTAACCTGAGCCTACATTATTCAAAGTCGAAGCCAAAAACGGCTCTTAACTATGTTACAGCTTAGTGAATTTTATTTAAAATTAGTTTTGGGATCATAATTTTATAATAATTCATTCAACTTTAACGCATCATTCTTCGACTTACACCACTTTCTTATTTTATACTATTACGATTATTTAAAAAAAAAGTCTTGAGAAAACTACATTGGTCTTTCAATTTTCTGCATTTCATATCTAATGAAACATTGCGTGATTAACTAAAACTGTTAACGACATTCATAAGATAATGATTACGCGAAATTGCACAAATTTGATAAACTTAACACTTCGTAAATCATTAAAGAACATTAACTAATCGCTGCTTAATTAACTCTGATATTTCGTCATCGATACTTTTGTGTGCATTCCCATTTACCTTCGGTGTTGTAAAGACCATAAGCGTCTGAATCTCAGTGCGTGCTTACCGTGGGTGTACCCAAGTTATAACACCGCCCGGTCTAATTTATAGTTAAGAATTGCCAAAAAACTCTTTATTACTTCGCGCCAGTCAAGTTCTGATGCAGTTCTGTGTTAATCTCGCATAAGTTAGGTGCCTCACCGGCGCCTATTGTTACGAGTTCGCGTATTGATTCTTACAGTACGTTCGCGCCAATAAATTCAAGATGAACTCGCCGTCCGCTCTAGGTCTCCGTTTTCCAGATTGGGATTTAAACAAGAGCCAGTGTATGTTTATTTTTTAAGTATCCTTAAATATTAATTTATTTATTTTTTTACATTTAACGTACTCACCGAAGCAAAGTTTAGTTTTTCAAATGTATTCTAGGAATCGTATTCAATATTTTTACACAATCTTTCTGTTGATAATATAGAGGTAAGCAATTTAAAACGAGTTCTTGATTTAAAAAGTTTCTAAAATATTTTAGAACAAAAGTTATTAGCTTTAAAATACGTTAAGAAAATTAGTTTCTTAAAACGATATAGTTGATATCGTTTCGTTAATTTTATTTCTAATTTTATATTAACAACTCTCGTGGAGGCCTTTACCTTCCATTGAGAGGGGTTCTTGCACATTTACATTTATATTTAAAATTAATTTTTTCTACATAACGGCACATTTTTTCTTTTTTTCTTGTTTCAAATTGTTTACTTTTATTGTGTTGCAAGAAATAAAAGGCTTTTATTTTATTTTATTTATTTATTATTATATTAACATTGATTTTAGTTACATTTTTTACAGATCTAATTGTTTTAAAGAAAGTTTATTTGTTAAGAAGTGGTTAGTGATTATAGAGTTGATGATATTACACACATAATCTCATGGACACTTTTTATTTATTAGTTTATATATAGCTTTTAACAACACTTTCAAACAAACAAATTTTATTTCCTTATAATATTGGTAAAGATTGTTCTTAAAATTATTTTATCAGGATTAATTTTGATGTTTAATTAGAAGTTTCGATCATTTTGCATACATATTTGTCACGGCACTCATTTATTTTACGTCCTTATGTTAGTCGATCTGAACTGTCTATTTTGCGTAGGTAAAGACAAGAAATTATAGTTCAGTATCCGGCTGCTGGTTTTTTAATTCGATATTCGCAAGCGACCCAAGTTCAAATCAGCTCAACAGGAAAAAAATATCTTAAGCTATTTGTAATAAGATAAGTTACCTTGAGAAGCCTGAATGTTTGGCAATAATAACAAAACAATATTTTGATGAATTAGTACGTGAATCATTTAAAATCATATGGATTTTAAATGATTATCTTATGGATTATATTATATTATGGAATTTAGCCGTGATAGCTCAGTGTCCGGGCGCTCGCCTTTAATTCAATATATACTCGAGCAACCTGAGTTCGATCCCCGGTGCCGGCACCAATGAAGTTTTTAACTTTAAGTGCTGACTTATCACGTGCTCCGCGGTGAAGGAAAACATCGTGAGGAAACCTGCACATTTTCGAAATAATAACAAAAAAAAAATATATTTCGAAAATATGTGAAGTCCGCCAATCCGCAGTGGGGCCGCGTGGTGGACTATGCCCTGATACCCTCTGTATAGAGGAGGCCTTTGCCCAGCAGTGGGACATGTATAGGCTGTTACTTTACTTTTTTTACTTTTATGGAATTTAAATGATATGGATTTCTACAACAGCCGAAGAGTTACAGATGCGTTGCTAACAATTAAAAAGAGACCTAGGGTGCAGTTCTCTGCAGATTATCGATAGGATACATACAATTTCACAAGCAAGATGATAACAACGCCGCAGTTTTCATACGCCCGTGACACTTTACTAGCACAAGGCCGCGTTCATCGACTTGCGCATACAAAAGAATTACAATTACCTAAAACTAAATAAAGAAACGCATAGGAATAATTAATTGAGACCAAAAGTTCGAGATCGCGGCTGCGTAATAATCGGAGATAATTCATTCAAATCGAGGATATTGAATTAATCTTTAGTTAGTTTATTCATGAAGGTTGCTTACATTTAGTTAAATATGTCGCTGACATCACTTACAAAAATATACGTAGGAGGAAAATTTTTCAATCTATTGTCACCTACAAGTGCAGAAGAATAAATTATTACCATAACCCACCCAGTAACTTTACGTATAAACTAAACGGCCAATGTGCCCACAGCGCGAAAGCCCACGGCGCGACAATCTCGACGTTTCCGTACTGTCTTTATATACTAATGTATACTTTACAGCATGAAACACTTTAAAAGTAACAAATGGGTAGCCAGTGCTTTGCCAATTTAACAACATTTGATCCAAGTACGACTGGAATTTTTTGAGTAAACTTAGCAATGAATACATAAAAACAGTGGTTTAAAAATATAATACATATTGATTAATTTTGTTAACATAATGCTAGATGCCAGATTAAGCAACACAAACCTTATAAGTGGAAGGACACATTATGTATCATATGATTTATGACTAAAAATGTAATTGCTTTTAATATTTTTTTCGCCGCCAAAAGATTTAGATTCAGCGTCCTCCGCATCCGAACTAAGAAAAGCCACTGAGCTAAACGGCTATCTCCACACCAACGAAAATCTCAACAAATCTTCCTTATTTTTTGTATTTCATTTATAAGCAGCCTTTTTAGTGCGTTTTAGTGCTTTTCTCTGCAATTTTTCAAATTTTTATAAAAATGGACGAAATGTTTTTCGCCCCTGCGAGGATTTGAACCTGCACGCCGTTATTTCCACTGAGTTAAACGGCTTTTCAAAAAAATCTTAACACATTTTATATACTTTGTTTTATTACATTTGAAGCAGTGTTTGGCGTCATCTAGGGTTTCCTTTAACTGACCATCGACCACTTTGTCGTATAACATTTTATAATGAAATATTTGAAAGCTAGAGATGAAGCCTTTAATTACATTTTTTAAATTATTTTAATTGTTTCAGATGATGAAATTGACAGTCTTCCTATGATGGCAACTCTCGGCCCAGTCCTAACTATACTAGCTACATATTTGGTATTCGTGCTGAAAATTGGCCCATCTTTGATGACGAAGCGCGAACCATTTAAACTGACTAAAACTTTGCTGGTATATAACGGATTACAAGTAGTTTTATCCATATATTTGGTTCAAAGGGTAAGTAAAGCCCGTTTAATGTACAAGCAATCTATGTTGCTCATACTTACCGAGCAACGTAATCAATATTTTAATATTTACATCTTCTAAAGCTACATTATCAGAACCACTGTTTCAAATCAATTGTATGGGACGCAAATAACAGACGTCGTTGTGCAAAGGAAACTATGCAAATTTGACCCCAACTGAAATGCAATGCAACAAATTGGGATCAGTTAATTATCTATATCCTTCAAGTTACGTTATCCATTATCCAGTTATGTCAAGTCACCATTTAATTTTATTTCTATTTTATTAACCACTGCAACATGTCAATTATATCATATTCATTATCATTTGGCAATCTTGTGGCAATTTTCAAATTTCTTCAAATTTTCGCTAATTTATCGAATGTTCACATTATGCCAGTTATTGAAAGACTTAAATATTGTCTACCTTCTGACTTTCAGTACTTCAGAAATTTATTGGATATGGGTCTCATGCCGAAGAAGTGCTACATTCAAGATAATAAACACAGGGATCAAGTATGTATAATTTTAAACATTTGTAATTGAAACAGAGTAGACAAACTGAGCTTATTTATTTATTTATTTGTATGAGTACAAGTTATAAATCACAGATCATCTTATAGCAATGTGATTTTTTTTCTTTTGTTCACGATATTCGCTATAAAAGTATCATAAGTTGCTACGCTTAGGTTTGGCTACCCTTTTAATGATTCAACCAGTTAATTATACTTTAACTTAATTGAGAGTATAATTATATAATCAGCATGAAGCTGTACAATTTACTCATCCTGTTAATGAGGCTATTCTGAGAAACGGTACTATCGGTAGGTGGATACCAAACAATTGAGGTATGCTAACAGAGCTCGTTGGACTTACACGTCAAGTAACTCAGTACCAAAAATAAACACCATTTGCAATCTTATGAAGCACAGATTGGATAATAACATGTCTAACACAAACACAGTTCTTATCAAATAATGGCCACCATATAAAATGATTAACAATGTTATTTCCTGCTGGATTTTCAACTTTGTTTGTGATAAAATATACATTATTTCAGATTTTACTAGGCATTTGGCTGTACTTTGCAGCTAAAGTCACCGAGCTTCTCGACACCGTCTTCTTCGTATTGAGGAAGAAGGATAAGCAGATCACGTTTCTCCATCTGTACCACCATTCTGTTATGATGATTGGGACGTGGGTCTTCATCAAGTACTGGCCATCTCACAATCTTCTCTTCATTGGATTCCTCAATTCGCTGGTCCACGTATTCATGTATACTTATTACGGCCTATCAGCGTTGGGGCCTCAAATCACAAAATACTTATTCTGGAAGAAATACATGACTACCTTCCAATTGGTAAGTAATTTAACCAACAAACCTGTATATCCATCCCCCAATTTGTACAGTCTGTACTAGGTCATACTTCGTTCGTGACCTTCATGGGTTGACAGACAGACCGTCTAGATGCATTCCTCTCTAGTTTCGGTGTTTCATTCAAACAAAATGTTATTTTAAATCGATGATGTTTTAATAAAGTTGACAGATGTCCATATTGCGCGGTTTTAAATTGTTCGGACGGTAAAAATTGTTCCGCTTTACATTATACGACATATATAAGTGAATGTGACAGATGATATAGAACGTGTGATACGGAAAGAGATAGCAGCCTATAGAGTTTCAATCTCAACCAATTTCAGTAATTTGAGTGCCTCAGTTTCAGTGCTGTAGTGTCATATTTACCTCGAATTTGAATATAATGTCACTGTTTTAAATAAATATATTACAAATAAAACAAAAAGAACCGCTATTTTTTTTTCTATGCGAGACGTACGTACGATATGCTTTGTCACGTCACGTCGCTTAGATGAATAATGTTTTCTAATGAGCTACATAACTATATTGAACTACGGGTTAAACCCCCTAAGGTAAATCAACCGCTTTCAATGATTGGTTGCTTATAAGATACCTATTATATTTTACTTATTTATTCCTTATGCACAAACATATATGTACAATGTTGGACTTAATTCTATCAGCATAACCTCCCAGTCAATCTTGGGGTGGTACAAAAAATTTAGGTAGGTGCATTTATTACAAATTAAAAAAGCAGTCATATGAATTTTAAAATATCTACATTATATATATACCTACTAATAAACTGCGTTACTATTAGTATCATATAAAATTAATGAAGAATATTAATCTTGTATCATTTTATTATATTGTAAATCTCTGCCTGATAATACATCCACATTCTCATAAAATCATTAAGTTCCATCCGAATGCGTCTAATTAACTTGGCGTCACATCGATAGAATTCCGTGTATCTCCAGTGATGCTTTTTTAGGAATTAAAGATGTTTTATTGTTAATATTCAAATAAAGAGCCGTGATAGCGCAGTGTCCGGGCGCTCGCCTATAATTCAATATACTCGAGCAACCTGAGTTCGATCCCCGGTGCCGGCACCAATGAAGTTTTTAACTTCCAAGTGCTGACATATCACGTGCTCCGCGGTGAAGGAAAACATCGTGAGGAAACCTGCATATTTTCGAAATAATAACAAATATTTTTCGAAGATATGTGAAGTTCGCCAATCCGCAGTGGGGCCGCGTGGTGGACTATGCCCTGATACCCTCTGTATAGAGAAGACCTATGCCCAGCAGTGGGACATGTATAGGCTGTTACTTTACTTTACTTTTTTTTCATGTAATGAGTTTCCCAAGCATAATTAATCATAAAATTTGTTCTAGGTACAGTTTGTTTGCATCATTATTCAGTATGTTGGCGCAGTGAAGAACTCTGAATGCCCACCAGCGAAAGGTGTTGCCACTTTCGTAGCGGCCAACACCGGATTCTTCCTCGTACTCTTCCTGAATTTCTATCGACACAGTTACAAAAATAAGTCCCTGAAAATCGGCAGAAGCAACGGATGTGAACAGCAGCGAAACATAACTGAACAAATAAGAGTAAAGGAAGAATAGATTCGTATTGTTAGAAATAACAAAGAATATTCACATTTGACATTAATAAGTGGTCCAGTATTTATAATAAGTCACATGATGTAAGTCACATACAATGTACATAACTCAAATTATTATGTACGAAATATCAATATAACATTGTTTTTATTCGTAAAAATATTTTATTTAAAAACTTTTTTAAACTTAAGGCTTATTGTACTCGTTTATCATGCGTACTTTAATAGAATCTGTCACTTTATCATTTTTATATGTAGTTGTGCACGAGACGGGTATATCATATTTTTAAATTACATTTTTTAAGTGTAAAATAATAGCCCAATACTTACAAAGATAGAAAAATTTGTTCAAAAGTAACGGCTACTCGTAACTACTGATTGTTTTTATTTTACTGTTGTTTAAATTGTTTTTATATCTATTAAGGTATTTATTAAAACATTTATTTCATCACCCTAAAAGTTTTAAAAATATATTGGTATGTGATATTAGAATAAAGCAAGAGTTGTATATTGCAATATTAAAGATTGTATAGCTCAAACTGGTGTCTGTTTTGCCTTAAATATATCCCAGTAGCATTTAATTCACACATGTAAATTCTCTAGGTTTTTATTGCGACTCAAAATAATTCTTCTTTCGTCATAACGAAAATCATAAAAAAATCAATAACGTAAACCCATCGCTTAAGGTTTTTTTTTTTCATTGGAAAATAATTTTTCATCATATGAATAGTTCCAGATCCAACACGATGAGAACACAGACTTTCGCATTTATAATATTGGCAGGTGAAACTATCAGGACATCATGATAATAACCGTCATGACATCATAGTAAATTTTTAATTAATAATAAAATCAACTCTAAACATTTACAGCGTTTCACGTGTAGTTACACAGCCTTTTTTCCTGGTAAACAAGTTAAATTGCGTTAATGGGCAGTAAATTTTACTAGCTGAACATCATTATGGTTTCCATTCAATATTTATGTGTTCTTTCCTAAGTCAAGGTTGCCTATGCCCCATCAATGTTGCAAATGTTTCGCAATGGCATGGCATTTGTACCTACTTACACAATTATATAGAATCTACGACTAAACAATGTTTCACGTGGGGGGACTATCTCAGTTACGTCAAGCAGGACTTTAGTGATGAAGATTTAGCATAACATTGCTAATTGTTCGTCATTGGCAATGTCATCTTAATTATACAACTGTCAAATGTATACAACTATCAATTGAAGCGGCTGAAAAAGATAGAGTTTGCAAATACAAGGGTCTAGGCTCCGAGTATGATTTTGTCCGATCGATGTCGAGACCCTTGGTTCGTGGGGTCCTAGCGCTAAAAGGCTTTTAAGGAAATAACAAAAAGGTTTGTCGACATCACAGGAGACCGAGGAGAAGGCTAGCCATTCAAAGGGGGAACGCTGCCAGTATCTTCGGAACCTAGCCTTAAGAGACTCCTTTTAATCATATATCTTAGTTATTACATTACTTTTTAGTTTTTAGTTTTAGTTCCATCGTTCTAGTATATAAATATTTTTATTTATTTATTTATTTGTTTATTTACCCTTTATGCACAAATAGTACAATGGCGGACTTAATGCTAAAAGCATTATCTCCCAGTCAACCTTGGGGTGGTACAGAGAAAATTAGGTAGGTGCACAGAGAGATATCCAACAAGGAAAACGCTAATATTTACAAACTATGTAATTTATGTATGCATAAGTTAAATACAGTACTAAATTATATACAACATATGAGATAACATATATATATATGTATATATATATATATATATATATGTATTTGTAATTATATATATGTATTTATTCATATATGAGAGTATGTACTACGTATATTTTGTAGTATATCCCATATGTTGTATATAATTTAGTACTGTATGTAACTTATGCATATATATATATATATATATATATATATATATACATACATACCTATAAATATACTCTAATACAAAACGATGGAATTGATCTACCGAGACAAGTTTTTTAAAATATGCTCACGAGCTTTGTTTTTAAATACACAGAAGAATAGACTGGATAAAGAAAGAAGAGTGCATGAAGTCAGAACGGTGAGAAGGACATTCAAGAAGTCGATTTTGCGAAGAGCGAAGGTTTTTGTTGCTGACTGCACATAGATACTGAAAATGATGGGATAAGTAAGTCAGAGTAAAAGGAGAGTTCAGGAAAGAATAAAGTGTAGTCAGTGCTCTTAGGGAACGTCGTTGACGTATAGGTAGCCATTGAAGTTGTTCACGGTAAGAGGAAACATGGTCATACTTGCGGAGATTGAAAACGAATCGAATGCAGTTATTCAGAAGTCGGTCAAGTTTATTGAGGAGATCTGCATTCAGGTCAAAGTAGCACACGTCACCATAGTCAACTACAGGGAAAATTAAGGCCTGCACGAGCAATACCTTGGTTTTTGTCGGTAAGAAATTTTTGAGGCGGCATAAACATCGTAGGGCACCTGAAACTTTATAGAGATATTTTGTATTAGTTTATCATTTGTATGTTATTTAAGTTTGCTTATAGCCTTTTACCACATATAATTTTTAAGATGTTAATTAGATTAATTTATACGTTTTAGCACATTAATATTCCAAGTTATATTATTATTTATTTCTGCTTTCCTTCGAACTTCACAAAAAATATAGTTTGTTCTAAAAAAAATCAAATCTTCAATCCAATCTCCCTTAAAAAATGATTTTTTTTTATGCGAAAAGTTGTCAAACGAACAGACGGTTCACCTGATGTTAAGTGAATACCGCCGCCCATGGACATCTGCCACACCAGAGGGTTACAGATGCGTTGACAACCTTTTGAAAATTGGGCTCCGGCTACCTCACTCACCAGACGAAACGCGAAAGTATTTGTTATACTTACACTTTACGCTGGTCTTCTGTGAGGTCGTGGTACTTACCCGGACGGGCCCGCCCATTCGTGCAACAGCCGAGGCTGCTGCGTGGCCCTACCACCGTCGAATCTTACAAATACTTTTTTTTACTTTTGTTTATTTGAATGATATCAAAAGTGCTTTCAGTTCATACACAAATCTCAAAAGCCCGATCCAAAGAGCCCATGTGTAAGTTATTCAGTGGGAAGAAATGTCACCTATAGTCGTTGACTGGGTGAGGGAGTGGGGAAGATGTTCTTAAATTTTTATTATACTATCTGTCTCTCTCTTATCCTCTTCCCATCTTATTGAGTAAACCGCTACAGGCTGCTGCTGTACCGGCTGGAAATGCTTATGCATGACACTTGTCCACAAATCAGGTGATATTATATTTTGAACTACCGATTCAGTTCAATTTCTGAGCTAAATTGTTGAAAAAGTATTTGAAAAATTCGGGATAAGTATAATCTATCCTTTATTAAAACCACCAGCACGGTTCTCTAGATAAATAATCGACTGAGACTAATTTATGCCAACTTATTCATAAAATTACATCAGCAATGGAAAGCGTTTGCTAAGGTATGTCACATGATATTAATTAGGAAGAGACTTGCTTCGCCGGCTTGCCTCTTATTACCGTGATCGAAGTCAGGTGCTTTTAAAAAGACTTTCTGTTTGGCTTTTGTTGTATTTAACTTTTGTTTTCGTATGTAACGAACCCGGAGTAACAATGTTTCTTCTAGGTATTTTTGCAAGTATGGTTCAGCATAGTTACTAGACTCCGTAGGGTAGGTAACAGCGGTGTATACGCTTCTAAAACAAACCCCTAGTTAATGCGCACAGCCAGTTTAGCCTGACTGTCGCAAAGGTTTAAGAAATTTATTAAAGAAAACTTTTTAAAAAGATTCATCCATAATTGATATTAATGCGAAAGTAACTCTGTCTGTCTGTCTCGCTTTCACTGAAAACCGACTGAACCGATTTAAATGAAATTTGGTACACGGATAGTCTAGAGCTTGAGAAAGGACATAGGCTATTTTTTTGGAAAAAAGTATTTGTAAAAGTTCGAAAGATGTTTATTTAAGGGCATCAACGCGAGCGAAGCCGTGGAAAAAAATATACTTGTAATATAAATGAATAGATTAATGATAATAATCCCTGGTAATGATATGATCTCTGCCAAGCTGTTTCTAAAAAACTAAAAATACCTACGGAGTTCCATTCACTTGTTTCTTCTCCGTTAACCTCATAACGTAGTAGATTTAAAAAAAACAGGCAAGTAGGAGTCTAACTCGTACAGTAAGGGTTCCGTACCATTATCTATAACAACGGCGAAAAAGTCATGTCTGTTGTATGGGACCTATGGAGTATTTGTTGTTATAGCGGCAACAGAAATACATCATCTGTTAAAACTTCAATTGTCTAAATATTATGGTTCATGAGATACAGCCTGGTGACAGACGGACAGACAGACAGACAGACAGACAGACAGACAGCGGAGTTTTAGCAATAGGTCGTTCGGTGCGGAACCCTAAAAAATGAGTATCTGTAGAGAAATGTATTTATTTTAATTCAATGAATAAATGATTTGATTTGATATTTTTTTTTAATTTTTAAATATTCCTGCTTCACATTCAATACGTTTCATTGTATCCGTAAACTGCAAACTTTATATTTGGATTCAAAGGACACAGTGCACGCTTTATGCCGTGATAAAATTTACGGACAGTTTCTGTACTGACCGCGGAAAACAAAGTAATTTTCAAGTACTCAATTGTAAATGAAAAAAAAGATTGATCCCACATACAGCGTGTCGTTACCATCGCGACAATAAATGAACACACGTCTAACGCTACTTGCCAATAATCATAAAAAAATATTAACGTTAAACAAAATCCATAAAAGTAAAGTAACAGCCTATACATGTCCCACTGCTGGGCAAAGGCCTCCTCTAAAGAGAGGGTATCAGGGCATAGTCCACCACGCGGCCCCACTGCGGATTGGCGGACTTCACATATCTTCGAAATATATTTTTTTTTTTGTTATTATTTCGAAAATATGCAGGTTTCCTCACGATGTTTTCCTTCACC